GCTCCCATGATAGGCTTAAAAGGGTAACTGCAGAGAAAATGCAGGGTCTCTAAAACCTGCCTGTTAGCTTAGTACAGTGTCTGGGCTTAAGTGCCCCACTTTGCGCTTTGCACCCGAAGCCTATTTCTGCTGGTCTGGAAAAGGAGAGTGGTGCTAAAGTGTTAAGTGAGGCTTTGTTCATCCTTCTGATTCCACTGGAGGGTGTACATGCTTGAAATACTTCTAGAGGTACATAATGTCTTTAACTTGTACTTCTATGTACTTTCATCATTCTCATTTTCTTAAATCACTTTTTCCTACTTAACCTGCTAATTGATTTAAAGTCTTTTTTCTACTCCTTCTCTTTACTAGGTCTGTTGGGAGCCACTACTTTTTGTTAAAGTCTTTTAAATTTTTTTTTAATTTATTTTTTGAGACAGAGTCTCACTCTGTTGCCCGGGCTAGAGTGCCATGGCGTCAGCCTAGCTCACAGCAACCTCAAACTCCTGGGCTCAAGCAATCCTCCTGCCTCAGCCTCCCGAGTAGCTGGGACTACAGGCATGCGCCACCATACTCGCTAATTTTTCTATATATTTTAGTTGGCCAATTAATTTCTTCTTTTATAGTAGAGATGGGGTCTCGCCATGTCTTCTGAAAGTCTAAATCTAAGTGAGATTATATTTGTCAATTTTTATTACAGGTAGTATAAAATGTTTGAAGACAACTCAAGAACCTCAAGGTACATGTGATATTTTGGTACATGCACACAATGTGTAATGATTTTGATCTTCTATAAAGTGCCTACTGTTGGGGGATGGGGAGGCTGGTGTGGAGAACGCACCTGTGGAAGTTCTCCGTTTCCTTTACCAGTGTGAGGAATTCGAGGTTGATTTCAAGATGCCCTAAGTAAGTGTTTTTTTTTTTTTATTATTTAGCAAAGTGAAATTTCTGCTAATGAATTAATTAATTGAAAGGTGAAAGAAAAATCCTAGGGCTGTGCGGAGTTGTTTATCTAAAATTTTAGAAGGATTTGACAGCAGGAAGATAGTGAAAATTAAGAATAAGAAAAATAATTGCAAGGAGTGTGATTGTAACAGTCTGCTATGGGAAAAAGAAGATGTAGGTTTACCCTCCTGCTGCCTTTCCATGTAAATGTGATACACAGTAAATGCTTGATCTGAAACTCCCTGAAACAAACACCCTTGCATCATGCTCTCTCCACACTCACTTTTTTTGTTTGTATTTTAGCTGGCACTCCAGGACCCATCAGTAAGTTCTTTATCTTTTTAATTTTCATGTGCTTTACTTTACCATACTATTAGAATATGTAAAACACTTACATTGCTGGATGTTCGGGGGTTTTGTCTGTTTGTTTCGTTTTACTGGGAATTCCCTTATCTTCTCTTGGATGTTTTTATTTCCTTGACAAATTGTCAATTCTTTTCTCCTAATTTGTTTCCTATTCTTATATTAATAAGCTGGTGTGCCTCTGTAAAAAAGTATTGTTACTTTTAATTTTTTCAAAATCTGAGATCCAACAGCAAAGGAAAAAGTTTTAAGAACAAAAATGGTCAAGTGAAAGGTAGGCAGCTTCCCCTGCTAGCAATCCCAGCAACACTCAGAATAAGGAGCGTGATGGTGGCCATTCTATTCAAGATCCACCAAGAGAGTTTTGGTGACAAGCTGTGAGTCCAGCTCACTGACGGAGAGTCCCCAAGCTGTCATTGATGATTGTGTGGGATGTATGTGTCTGGATATGAACAAAGAATAAGTCCCTTTGCCTCAGTCCTCTCCAAATTTGCTGGGATTATCAGATGTGAACCAGTTACCTGGCCTGACTTTTGGTTATTGTAATTATTGTTTCATAGATACAAATACTTTTAAGAGGAATAGAGACAGTGGTGTGTGATAGGCCATGATCCCTATACCTCAAAATCATTCCTTTTCCTCTTCTTTCAGAGTTAGCCCTGCCCTGGAAGCTCAGTCTCTGAATATCCCTCAGAAATGATGGACGGAAATGTGTCAAAAAATGAATTAAACCCTTGGTGAGTTTCATCTTCTTGTCTTTTTGCTTTAAGGCTACTCATGGGTGGAGAATCTGTAGTCAATGGAAAAGCTGTGGAGGAATGGTTCCTAAACTTCAGTGTGGCACACAATCAGTGGGGATCTCATTAAATGCAAAGTCTGATTCATGTAGTAAGGGGAGGGGGGCGGGGGCGAGGGTGTTTAGGCTGACAGCCTGCATATCTGACAATCCAGGGGGCGCCAGTGCAGGTCCCTGGGCACACTTTAGGCGGCAAGGCCATAAAAATCTAGGGGAATCTCAGATCACTTAAATGTTGCTGTTTCTATTTACCATTTTTGCTTTCTGTATCAGCTGCTTCTCCCCCTGTATTCCCTCCAGTGCTTCGCCAGCGTATGCTGTAGTGCCATTAAAAACTGTCAAGGAATGAGTGTCTTACCGGTTGAT